GTGGCGGACTTGTTAGGGGGTTGGAGGGGTCCTCTCGGACACCCCGCTTGCGGGCTATCTCCAAACGCATTTTTGCCGGCTGAAAGCGTCTCCGGCGTGGTCCGTTCGGGGGTGGATGGGTTCTGTGTTCAGACCTGTCCCAAAAGCACTTGTGGCTGCTGAAAGCGTCTGTGGCGGGCTCCGTTCGTGGGGTTGGATGGGTCGCCTCCCTACTAATAAACCCAACTTAATGACGCTGAAAGTGTCAATGGTGGGCTCCGTTGTGGGTTGGATGGGTCACAGTCAGACCTCTCGGGCACCCCTTCCCGGGATGTCCCAAACGCACTTTTAGCTGCTCAAACCGCTCGTGGTGGTCTCCGTTGCTGTCTGTGGTGGGCTCTGTGGGGGTAGGAGGGGTCACGGTCTCACCTGTCGGAGTCACCCTTGCCGGAATTTCAAATGCATTATTTAACGTGTTTGTGTTGCGGGTGGATGGGGTCAGCTACCATTCCAACAGTCGAGGGCCCCAAAAACGCTTGTGTGCTCCAGCTGTTGCTGCGTCCAACCCGACTACACACCATCGTTGCAAAGCTTAGCTGCTTTACTTCAGAGTTATGGGAAGTTAAGTCGCGTTTCGGTGACGGTAAGACCTTATTATTAAGCCTTTCACTCCCAACCTCAGCATTTTTGTGGCTTGGTGTGCGATTGCACACATGCAGCAGCAGAAGTGTGGTCTCTGAGGATGTTCGTGGTGAGTACAACATGGTGAAGTTCAAGTTGTGCCTGTCAGACATGACGGTGGTCCGCCGCATGGTGGACTTGCGCCCGATCGAGGGGAGGAAGGTGTGACAAGTGCTGACTGACAAGCCCATACTGTTATGTCATTACTCCGTGTGCCCTGCCAGGCTGCTGTCTGGAAGGCCGAGAAGGCAGGCGAGACCATGTCCTTCTTTTCCAACAGAGACGAGGAGATCCGAGAGAGGCTGCGTCAGACCATTCGTGTTGCTTGTCGGACACTGAATCTGTCAGTCTCAGTCTCATTGTCATTGAGTTGCCTCTCTCACAGTCTCTGTCTGTCCGTCTCTCTCTGTCTCTCTCTCTCTCTCTCTCTCTCTCTCTCTCTCTCTCTCTCTCTCTCTCTCTCTCTCTCTCTCTCTCTGTCTCTCTCTCTCTCTCTCTCTCTCTCTCTCTCTCTCTCTCTCTCTCTTTCGCTGGCTGGCTCGCTTACCAGCGATTGCAGTGGTGTTTTGTCGGACAGCGAAGTCAGGTTTTTTGTGCTGATGGCGAGCCAGCCGAGCAATTGATGCCTCGAATTGCCAAGGCATCTTGCCTATTAGTTTTTTTTAGATAATAATTGAAGCTTTTGACCCGGGTCAATGTCGTCTGACTCATTGACTGAGGTGGCCGACATCCTGCCCCGCCTCGATGCCTCCATCCGCTGCTTCAGCCACAGCGCTCAGGGTACATTAGAGGCGACTGTCAGATGTGATGACAAGATGGCTTTTCTCGTGGACAAATTGGTCCTCCGTTTTGCGGGCACGGACGACAGGGGGTCTCTCGCCCGTGCGCTGAAGAACAGCCCCAAACTGGCCGCTCTTTTCAAGCAAGAGGTCCGACTCGAGCCCAGTGTGGTGGCAGAGCTTTCTCCTATCTCTGCCATGCAGTGTACTTTTGCGAGTCAGAGGTGGGACTCGACACTGGAGGCTCTGAGATTGATCGTGCTCAGGTTAGACGAGATGCTGCGTTTTCTCTGCAAGGTTTGTCTCGAAGAAGAGAATCGTGCATGGTCGCTTGCCTTGCTGCAGGTGGGGCAGCTCTGTCAGACAGTCTGACTGAGTCAATATAACTTTTAATATATTAATAATACAGCCACGTTGAATTTGCGAGCATTGCCCCTGTAGGTGTTTACGTGGCCCAACATCATCTCACTCTGCTTGCTGGTGGAGTTCATGTCCGCTGGACAATCAAGGTGGCACTCGTGGCAGTGGACCCCGCCAGACGACAAAATCAGCATTTTGCCGCATTGTCTTTGCAGCTCGCAGGGCACGGATGCTGTCAGAGAATCTCGCAAGGCTTTTTCACTTTGAAATCGATGGCAAAAAGCACAAGCCCTTGGTTCTGGATCCCAATTTCACCCACGGTTATTGTCAGATAGCGGCCAAAGCCTTGAAGTTCGGACACTAAGCTGCAACTCAGCCATGCCGTGCAACTGAGACTGAATGCCGCCGCTCTGAGTCTGTGAGCAAATGGCAATGATGCATAAATTTAATTTAAGGAAGTCAGACCACTTTCTCTGTGGTTCATGGAGGCCGCCTGCTGTATCGGCTGTATAGCGGCCTGCCTAGAAATCTCTGTCCACTGCTTATTAATAACTATAATATTATATTAAAATTAAAATATCATCAATGTCATTCAGAACTTCGTTCACAGCCCAGGTCATGGCTTGGATCTGCGGACGCTGATTGCCGATGGCCTGGGTTCCATTGCAAACCTCTCGAATGCGTTCTTGAAAGGAGTTGCGTCAGAGCAGGAGGCCGGTCTGGGCGAAGCTTTCGAACCGTTCGATGTTAGTCACTGGTTGGCTTCTCGAGATGACGAAGCCCTGCACCTGGCCTTTTATTTTTTACTGACAAAAGCTTTTAAATTTTATTACTATGATTGAACTGTGTTCTTGTAGTCCTGTCGAGAGGATGCCGCTAGGCTACAGTCGCGATTCATTGATCAGGTCAGAAGTTCTCGCCCCGTTGGCCAAAATTGCCAAAGTCGAGGTGGGATGATCACGGTGATTGTAGTCACAACGAGTTCAATATTACGCATGAATGCTGAACAGGTGCGCCTGCTGGTCAAAGAGATGCTGGTTGCCAGACCTACTGCCTTGGCATGTGTCAGGCCAGTGCCTGAGAGTGTTTGCTTAATTAATTTCCAGTTTTAGTCAGTCACTGGCTCTTCCTGCAGGCGTGGGTCCACCGACCCCGAGATCTACTGGGGAGAGGTCCTCAGACACTGGGGCCCCAAGAAGCTGCCGGCTTTGTCAGACATAGTTGCTTGCCGGCCATTGGACTGATGTCAGACTTGAAGCTTCTGAGTTGCGAACTGGAGTGCCGCCGAGGTTCCTTTCATGCTTTCCTGTTGGGTGAGTTCGTCAGAGGTGGAGCAAGATTTCAGCTATATGCAGCTGTTTCAGCTGAAAAGCCGCATCAAAGCCGAGCACTTGCGTGACCTTCTGAAGGTGTTGTTAGACGGTCCTTCCCCGGAACAGCTCGCCCCTGTCAGACAGGTCAATGGGATGTGTGTCTATACGGTGTCAGACATGGTCCTTCGCTGCCAGGCTCAGTATCGAAAGCTGTATGGCAATGCGAAGAACCAACGCAAGACGCCTCACCTTCCCCGGAAAGTCCACTCAAAGAAAGAGCCAGCAGCCAAAGGCGTTCAAGGATTCCTGCGTGTAAGACGTGAAGAGATCCAGAAATTGATCAAGCAGCAGGCCACGTCAGAAGGGGATCAAACATTGGAGGATGCCGGCTTGGAGGCAATCACGGCGGCTTCATGTGAGGAGAAGAAGAATGCGAAGTTCAACAAACTCTGCAACACCCTAGCCGACCTGCAGGCTCGGACGATGTGTCAGCTAGTGACTGTGTCATTGTGAGTCACAGTATGGTTTTTAATGACACTGCTGTGCTGCAGGGAAAGAAGCGGAAGGCACTGGAAGTCATGACCGACGGCCAGTCCGACAAACATGCTCAGGAGACGTTGAAGCTTGGTCAGAGTATGATGGATGCCAGAAAAATGGCAGATCTCTCGCGTCGTGACTTGCAGTGGTCAGAGAGAACGGGGGCAAGCCTGTCCAGATCGTCGTGTTGTGTGCTTCCACCTGCCGTTACCTTGTCGTCAGACGAGGAGCAGGTTCTGCAGCGATTGGGTGTGAAGGTCTCTGTGTGGAAGTCAGACAGGGAATATTTTCGCGAACTCTTGCACTTCAAAGACATTGTCTGGTTCACACCTGGTGACGAATCTGCCATTGCCGCACAGGATGGCCTCAATGCCACCGAACGTCAGACAGAATGTCAGACAGAATATCTCCTTACTTCCCGGCTCTTGGGTGGCTGGGTCGCTGGCATTGAGTGGTTAGAGGCATGCAAGCGATCACGTCAGACACTGCAACCTGTGCTTCGGCTTGCTCGTGCCTTGGCTATACCACGCGAAATGGTTTGCCATGAGTCAGAGAAGTTCGGGTCACTGGTGTCAGACGTGGTCGCTGCAGCCAATATGGTTGCATCAGCGAACTGCGCGTGGGTGATCCGCGAGTGCCGTAAGAAGCTGCTACTTGGATCTTCAATTTAATATTACATGTCAGACAGTCGTGTCAGTCGTGTCAGTGCTTGCCCAATGGGCCTTGTGGTGCATCCGAGGCAAAAGAAGAGATCCTGGGTCCTCATGTCAGACAAGAAAGCGAAGAAGTCGAAGGAGAAGGACAAATCGCGGGATAACAAGAAAGCAGGCAAACCAATCAATGTGGAGTACATGTTCGAAATGATCACAGTGCAGCTTGGCCAGACCGTCTCTTCAATCTGTCTTCTCTTTTTCTTCGAGCCAGTCTTCTGCCATGATGCCATCACTGACTACACCTGAGGTGGAGCGACCTGGGAAATGGAGCACGTCAGACACCAACCGCAGTGGTGTCTGAATGTACATAATTTTATAGAGACCAGTGTCTGTCCGAGTCACAAGGGCTGAAGGGCTTCCCTTGTTCCTGGCCGAAAAAAGTTGGCCTCAGCGCGCTTGCGATGTCTGGCAATCTCTGCAGGACCTGCTGTTAATTTATAAATTTAACTGAATGTCATCTCTTTCTGGCCGAGGTCTCTGGTTTTGCCGTTCCGTGCTGCGCAGCAACTGCAAGGCAAGGGTGCTTCAGCCTGCAGAGCCTGACATGTTCGGCTGCTGGGTCATTGATTGAATATGTCTAGGACTTAGGCTCAAACCAGGCTAGCCTGCTCCTCATTACTATAGTTAGACTGCCAGCTATGCGGGTGATTCAGCGCCTGGAACCCAAGAGTCCGAAGGTTCGTGTGAAACAAGAAAAAGGGACGACAAAAAGCTCCACTGCAGCCCGGAGTCAGACGACGAATATCGTGAAGCTCGAGAATGCCCAGCGTGCTGTGAAGGTGGACCTGGACCTGGAGGATTTGACCCCGACAGGCGCCGCCCAGAATGCTGACAGAAAGAAGGTTGCAGCAATCAAGGGGCGGAGTGTCAGACAGCTCTTGGATGACAGACTCATCAGGACCAAGCGTTTCTTGTTGCCAAAGACCGTGATGATGAAAGTGATGCGCGAGATCCTCCAGGAAATGAAACCAGGTTTTCGCATGCAGCCTGACGCGTGTCGGACTCTGCAGCAAGGAGCCGAGTTGTTCCTGGACAGTGTGTTTCACCGTTCAAATGTGTTTCGTCAGAAGATCGACGCCGAGCGTGAGACACTGCTTCCACTTGACATGCAGCTAGCATTGATGTGACCTGCTGACAGTCAGACTGCTGCAACAGCCATGCTTTGCAGCCAGACTTTGCAAGTGATCGCACATGATCACTGCGTGGGCTTTGTTTTATTCAAGCCTGAGCCATGTGAGGCTGGGCTCAGCTCTCATGATGTGTCTAAATATGACAGGGGCAAACGCGGGGAAACCAAAAAAGCGGCACGAGCGCACCAAAGCCAGTCTTGTGCATTGATACACGACAACCCGCGGGACGCACTTTGGGCCTCCGGCTTGAGGAGGCCCAAAGTGCGTCCACGGCGCGCCGTGGACGCACTTTAGGCCTCATGAAGCCCAAAACCTCCCAAAATCCAAAGTGCGTCCACGGCGCGCCGCGTCCGCCAGGCCCCTCATGGACCCCAAAGTCCGTCCACGGCGCGCCGTGGACGCACTTTGGGCCTGCTGAAGCCGGAGGCCCAAAGTGCGTCCCACAGCTTGGGTTTGAGCATGTTGCCTGTATACTTTGTCTGTTGCCCGTTGAGATGTATGTCACTTGCAGGCCACAGACTTTGGCGTGACGACAGACCGGCAATGTGGCATTGGACTTTCAGGACCGAACCTTTTGTGTGTGTGTGTGTGTGCCACTGCTGTGTGACATCATGAAACAGTCAGACTGCTCATGCTGCCGGGTTGGAGACTGCCCACATGTGTGAGCTCTTGAATGCCGGCTCTTTTGCAAGCATTGTGCTTTTCTTGTCAGACCAGTTTGCTCAAGCAAAGTTCGGGGGCAGCAGGGCGATAAAAACAGCTGAGCCGCTTCAGCTGCAAGATGCCACCGCGAAAACCGGCCACACCGAAGACGAATGCTACTGCAGTGAGGGCAAAGGGTAAGACGTCGCCGCCAGCTGCCAATGCCCCGAAGGCAGCGCAAGGGCGCCCCGATGTGTCCATGAATGCCAGTGCTCCGTCAGACGCCGCCGCCGCTCCAGCAAAGGCACGGCAATCTTTGTCAGACCGTGCGGCTGCCAATGTGGCCAAGATGATGTCAGACAGTGCAGGGGTTGGCAGCACTAACCAGAAGCTCGTCGCCAAGGAAGTCTTGTCCCCGCTGTTAGACTACTTGGAGAGCATGGAAACGTCAGACCTTCAACCCGAGCCCTTCGGTGGCATTGATGCGTTTGACACTAAGAGGTACCAGTCAGACATGGCAAACAAAGCCCACTACACGTGCACGGTGCCGCTCCATTGGCTGGGCTTGGATGCCCCGGCCTGAGTCAGACGGATGGTTTGGGATAGCTGTCAGAATGAACATTAATGTGCACGTCAGACTGCTTACGGCCCTCGTTCCAATTTCAAACTCGCATTCCAGGCATTCGAGTCAGACGGTCTCTGGCCCAATCTGGGAAGCGTTTTCAGAATGTATCGGCATCATTTCTGCACGTCAGATGGCGTGAACCCCAGCAAGATTTGCGAGGCAAAGCACGCTACGACGATTCTCGTTTGAATTCTTTATTATGCCTGCTGTTTCTAGGTTGGGTGTCTGGCTGTGCACTGTCAGTTCAGGATCCGTGCTACCTCGAAGTCAGAACCGCCAGAAATTGGTGATTGGGAAGTGGCAGACAAGAGTCTGTTTCGCATGGCATGGCAGTATGCCTTCGCACAGGCACGCAGGGGCAAGAAAGACGAGACGATCAAGGCTTTCCAGACGGCCAGTCTCAGTGTTGCCGTCACCTTCAAGCTGCTGGTGTCTGATGATGAGTTTGGTCAGACTCTCGGCTGGCAAGGTGCTGTAACCCAATTGAAGCCCGTGCTTGCCATGAACCTCTTGCATCGTTCTTCTTGTCATTCGTCGTAGGCTGTCGGTGACAGACATTGTGTTGTCTCAGACTACCCAGGACCAAACGACAGCTGGAGGAGGACATGAAGGCAGATGCATTGAACAGCCAGATCTTCGGCTACAAGGAGTGTCTGCAGACGTACGAAGTGCAGGAGTCGCTGAAGAGACAGAACAAGCCCTCCACAGCAGCAGACGTGGCACAGTGGTTCAGCAAGGTGAATTTTGCCGAGGAGTCGATCAGTGCCAAGACTGTTGAATGTCATCTGAAAATCGTCAGACGACTTACACCTGAGTGCAGAAACCAGCTGGACGGCTTGGAGTTTGCTTTCAGCAAGCAACACCCTCTGGCCAAGTGGACGGCTTTGGATGCTATCTGTGGCAAGACATCCGTGCCCAAGAACTTGGCATTGCAGAACAAGCTGTTAGAGTTCGTTGTCTCTGGCATCCATATCAGGCTCTTGAGAAACACCTTGTCGGCCTCGATCCGTGATGACACCAAAAGCAAGACAGTACCGACGTTCTTGGCTCTTCGTCGCATCTCCCACTACATCTCGTGGAAGCTGCAATGCAAGGAGATCAACGAGATTTTCGGCAATTGGACAGCTTTTCATCGGATGTTTCCTCGTGGCAGGGAAATGGAGCTGTCAGATCCTGGCAAGACAACGGCGCCAATCTTCTCGGAGAAGTTTGCGAAACCATCTGTGCAGGCCGCTGCGACGGGTTGTTTGGCTGCACTTCTTTCACTACCTTGTCTAGTGCTGTATGTGTATGATGTTTCTTGTGTCTGAGTTTGAATATGAATTGAATCATTATATGTATGACCCGAGGCTTGCAGATGCTGTATGACGGCAATGCCGACCACATCTTGCTCAAATCGTTGGCGAGAGATGTCAACATGTCGGCTGAAGCATTGTTGTCTGCGCCAGAGCTGTTGCAGGAGGAGCATTCTGGTGTCATGTGCTGTGATAGTTGGACATGTAAGACCTTGTCATGCTTTTGCAGGATTACTTCGAACTCGACAAGGTTCTCCAGCTGCATGAAGAGGAGATGCAGCCTCCGAAGCCTGAGCCGAAACCTGACACGAAGGTGGAGGATGCCGTGTCAGACTCGCAGGAGACCGCGCGTATGGGGGAAGACACGGCCAAGCCTGCTGACATCGTGCATGAGGTGGTGCCAAAAGAAGAGACAGTCCACCTAAATGTGGATCTTGTGGCAGACAACCAGGTTGTGATGCAGATGCTGTCAGAATGGTTCCCAAAGCTGGTACTGCCCCCGTTGGCGACGGACAGCTTCAACAATGTTGCGCCGTCAGCGCTGCAGAGCATGTTCTCGTATGCCTCCGCCCGTGCCAGCCTCAAAGATGACTTGTGCTTCCGATTCTGTCAGTCTCTCGCAGAGGGGGTAGCGAGCTCTGTTGTGTGCACTTCTGACTGAGGTCTGACATCCTTTGTGACCTTCATGTCGGAGCCAGACAGCACGAAATGGTTCGAGATGGTGTCTGACATCGCAAAGCCGGCTGCGGGTGCTGCGTCCGAAGACAGAACTGTGTACATCTATGATTCCACATGCCGGTATGACCGTGCTTGCCTAGCTGGCAAGACTTGGCGGCAGCTGCCGCAGTTAGACGACAGCCACTTCAAGAACGTTATGGAAGCGGTGCTGCCGAAGAAACACATTGGGGGTGGGCATGAGATGAGCCTCTTCCAGAAGAACGACATTTTCCTTTTCAAAGATGCCCGCCGTCCCAGCAACTTCAGCAAGATGACCCGCATGGCAGCTGGATTGCACACCATGCGTTCCAAGACCTGGGTCGAGTTGAATTTAACTGAACTGGTCTGTGTTAACTGGTCTGTGTTAGTTAAAGTCTTAGCCGCTGCGACCTGCCAGACTCCAAGGTCAGACAGGCTGTGAAAGGGGACTCAGAGTACCCGAAGAAGCTCATGAACACGCCAGTCAGACTCTGCTACAACAATCTCGAGTTCACCAAGGACGGCTACGTCAGAAAGAACTCCTCCAAGGCGTGTAAGACAGGCCGGATTGCTTTGCCGGATCCTGTCGAGAACTTGTTCATCCTCAGTAAGACAAAGTGTCAGACAGAGACTCGGCCGCGGAAGTTCCTTGACTTGCCGGGGAGCAACTACACGCGCAGCCTCCAAGGCCTCAGCATTCGAAGTGGTGCGGAGGCGAGCATTGCTGTCAGACGAGACACGCTGAGCCAGATGATGAAGGCAGTGGGGACTTCCACCGCTGTGTCCGCCAGAGAGGAGGAGCACGACATGGCTGCCGGCGCGGTGGATGAGGACCACGAAGGCGACGAGTCAGACACAAAGGCTGAGGGTGAGGCGGCGGACAGTCAGACTGTGGACGGTGAGCCAGAGACGACGCCGGAGGAAAGTGTCAAGTCAGACCAAACCATGACTTGGTTTGCCTGGTCTCCGTCAGAGATGTTTTGGGCGGAGATGTACAACCTCTACGGCGTCAGACGGCCAGCCACATGGAAGATCATCGACTTCACGCCCGGGCCGGGCTTGGCAGCCTTGCAAGCCGCCAGACAGTGTGTTCCCTACGTGGCCTTTTGCTTGCCGGGCCAATCAGACACACTGCGCCAATCCCTGACATTCCAGATTATGGTGGAGATTGTCAGAGGAGTCAACAATGGCTTCACTCGCAGAGCGATCAGCCGTGTCAGAAGTCTGACAGGCGGCCATGCGGAAGAAGCACGCCTGGATGCTGCGAGGGCTGCGGCGAGCCTGGACGCGTCGGTGATGCCCGACTCACCTGGTCCTCAGACGAGTGGTGGTTGTCAGACGACTGGTGGCAAGCGCAAACGTTCTGAAGGGTCAGACTCCGAGTCGTCGTCGTCCAGCAGCGACAAGGAGTGAGTGTGATGCCATGACGAGGTGACATGACAGAAGTGGTGCCAGGGGTGTGAGAAATAGATTTCTAAGTAGCGGTAATAGACTATACGATCATGTTAGGATTTCCGAAGGGGCGTCACCTTCGTCCTGCAGTGCTCGTTGCTCTACGGCCAGGAGGTCTGTGAAAGACTCCATGCTCCGGACCGTCAGATTCATCGATTTTAACGTGTCAGACACAGCATCTCGTCTCGGCGATTCTCTGACTCAAGGGGGGGCCTGTGAACTAGATAGAGGACACATGCGAATGGCCATGTCCATGATTCAGAATGTTACGAAATAATTTCCCCCCAGCCAAACATTCGAGTACCCTGAATAAAAAAAAACAGTCCCCGAGCCTGGAAAGGTCAAGGCTTCAGGCTTCAAGCATCTCTCCTTCTCGAGAAAGCTTCGGCCGCCTTCCTGAAAACCGAAGGACTGATCCCCGGGCCCCGGAAGACTTGTATAACTTAACCCCAAATTATAGCTATGTCCGGAGGCCTCTGTAAACTACCCGCTTTCCAGATATGATTCGCCTATGGAATCAGAATAGTTTTATTTAAAGTGGACATAAAGAAAACGAGCCCTCAAAAAAAAAGATTTTGGAGACCCTGGAAAGGTCGATGCTGAAGACAGGCCTGAAGCCTCGACCTTTCCAGGATCGCCGAAAATCTGCCTGGCGCGTTTTCTGTATGCCTTACTGACTCATTAACTTAGGCGAATCATATCTGGAAAGGGGGTAGCTTACGGAGGCCTCCGGACTACAATACAAATCTTCCGGGGCCCGGGGCTCGGTCCTTCGGTTTGCAGGAATATCATAAGCTTTCTCGAGAAGGAGAGATACTTCAAGCGTATGCCTTCCTGAAAACCGAAGGACTGAGCCCCATTGAAAAACCGTCACGGCCCGAACACTTATATAGTGTAGGGTCAAAGGCCAAGATCCTGAATACCCTCAGAATATTTCGGGCAGAAGACTAGTCTGCCAGCTAAAACATGTTGCATTCATGTTCGGCACCCCGGCAATGCCAGCAGAGAGTGCACAACAATCATGACTCGAGACTCGGCCGTCAGATACAGACTGTGGCTGCCAAAATGGTGTCCTTGCCATTGCCTTGGTCCTTGATGTGGCAGAGTGTACATGGGGTTCAAGAGATTCGTCACTGTAGTCCTTGCATTGTCGTTGTCAGTCGGGCTTTGGCTCTGAAAGAAAGTGTTTGTTGTTCGATTCTGTGTGCAGCCATGGATGTGAAAACAGTGTCAGACCTCCTGGCATGGACATCCGAAGAAAATTACGAGGTCGTCCTGTATCAGCTGCCAGCCGCGTTGTCTCTCTTGTCAGACCTGAGTCGGCCATACTTCCTGCCCAGAGTGCTGTCAGAGCACGGTCACGAGGATCAGGCTCTGCGCATTCGTGTGAAAACCATGTTTCCGATGCCGTGGGTCAGTTTTGGGCACCAGTCAGACTCGTCAGACACCATCACGGGCAAAAAATGTCAGACGATGCTGCTGGCACACACAATCTGGAAGAACAAGGACAGCTGGGCATTCTTGCGTCAGACAAGCCTCTGTGAAGCCACAAAGTCCGCCACAGTCGTTGTGGTGCACTTCAGTGTGCCTTGTAACAAAGGCACAGCGATGGAGCTATCCTTTGCGTCAGACGTGGATGCCAACACAGTGTTTGAGGGCAAGACATTGAAGCTACAGGACTGGTTTCCGACCTCCGCTTTGCTGCAGTCAGACTCCACAGGCTACATCTGCATGTCTCTTGTCAGACACAGCATTGTCATGAGCTTAAGTTTGTGCATCGGGGCTAACATGTGCCCATGTTTGTTTCAGCATGCTTGAAGTGGAGAGTCCATTGGCGTGTTGCGAATACACTTTTGTGTGCCAAGGTGGTGCGACAAGGAGAAGCCGTCCATGGGCTCCGAAACCATCAAGAAAATGAAAGACGTCAATGCCTCTTTGCACCGCTGCCTGGAAAATTGGATTTCTGATGGTGGTTGCAACAGCAAGACAGAGCAGAAAATGCAGAAGTATGACAAGGACGAGCTTCATGAACAATCTCGCTCAGGCAGGACGTGGCTCATGACCTTCCTGGGGTTGCGTGTAAGGGGGTCTGCCTTGAGTTCGCAACATCCCCGTGCAAGGTGCTGCCCGACCTTCTTCGGCGGCATCGAGTAGCAACATGAAGGAAGCGTCAGACGCAGTCATGGCCGAGAATCATGAAGTCGACCCGCCTGTTCTTGTCAGCCAGAAGCGGCAACGAGTGCAGGACGCGATCGCGTATCTGGACAGGATGAAGCCCGCCAACCAGAGTGCGCTGTTCATGGATGCAGCTCGTAAGAAGGTGCGAGTCATTGATTCCGGGCTGGAGACTGTGGCTTCTTTTCTGACACCTGGAAGTACAATGCTGACTAAGACAAAACGTGATGTCAGACAGATGACGTTGGGCGAGACGAGCCGCCTGCATGGCTGCTGTTTGGACTTTAGTCTGTGCAAGCCGTCATACAGTTCGCACACACTGGCCAACATGGCCTCAGTTCCCACAGCTGCGACAATGTTGCTCCTAGCCTGTCAGACCATGGCCTTGGTCAAAGAGAACGACATGTGACAATGTCATTCTCGTCACCCAACTGTCGTCGCAAAGTGCGTGACAGTCAGAAATAATTTTGGAGGCAGGCAGCGCAGAAACAATCTCGTGCCAGTGCTTGCCGCTTGTGAGCTCTTCCAAGGCATAGGGCAGGTCGGAGTCATGCAGCATCGGCTCTTGACAGGACAGGATTGGTGAAGTGCGAGAGACCATCGGCCTGACACTCTGCTTCCGAGAACGATATGTGTCTGTGTGTGTGTGTGAGTCAGACCTTAGGCCCGAGACTGACTTGCTGTCTCGCTCTTTTGAAATTTGAATGTCAGGTCAGACCGTCTTCCGCGGAAGTGCATGACTCAGCAGATTCACGTCACTGTGTTGACAAATGTTCCTTTGTGGTGTGGGCGTCGCTAGGAATGAGAGTGCAGATTATATAATTATAATGACTCCCGAGGCCACTGCTTGCAGTGATGCTCATCGCTACCTTGCTGGCGGAAATGTCAGACAAGTGCTCAGCTCAGCATGTGTACAGCGTATCTGTCAGAATCAGAGGGGAATTCAATACATGTCTTTTGTCGTGGATCCTGACTCGCTCATGCATTCCAGCTTCTGTGCTTGTCAGACTGCAGTGGAACTGACTTGGAGTTCTGAAGTGATTGGATGTGCTATCCTGTCATATGATTTCATGCCTGGAACCTCGCAGTGCGTGAGACTTCGTTGCCACTGGTGGTGACACTGAGTAAGACAGATGATGTGAACGTGTTTTTCGACCTGTCAGCCAGGCCTGTCTGATCATGAGTTTTGTTTTGCTGGCTTGTGAACAGACCCCTGGGTTCACTTGTTATTTGATGCCTTGTGTGCTAGCTGATGCAGTGCTTTGAGGCCAGTCCTGTTTTGGCAGACTTGGAGCTGGACATTTTTCTGCAGGCCGTGGCTTGTTGTGAAATCACTGGACGTCAGTCTTATTTACTAATACTGAGTCAGAATCGAACTGCATCAAGCCGCAGAGATAAGAGGCTCAGAAGGCATCCCTAAGCCCAGTCAGTGACAGTGCCTGTCAGAGAATTCCCAGGCAGCATGGCCCCAAAACGAGGTCAGACCACCGCAGCCATGAAACGGCCGGCAGCCAAGAAACCACGCCACACAGGTGACGAGGGCCGTCAGACAGTTTGGACCGACGACGAGTTCGATCTTCAATCCTTCCTGGCAAGTCTTCTGTCAGACGCCGGACTGGAGCAGAGTCAGACCGACGGTGGCCTGAGACGTCAGACGCCTCTGATGATGGCAGGCGGCTGCGATGGCACCGGTCTGCCTCACTATGTTGTCTCCAAGATGCTGAAGAAGGGTGAGGTTGCGTCTGTATGCGCGTCAGAAATGAAGCAGGCGCCGGCGATGTTCATGCTTCGTCAGACTGAGACGTTCGACGTTGACCACATCTTCAAGGACATCAAGTACAGCGTCAGAGGTTCCGGGCCGTGCTGGGTGCACAACCGCTGCTGCAAGTTGTCAGACCCGAGCATGCAGAACCTGGACTTATTTGTGTCCGGTTTCTCCTGCAAGCTGAACAGCAGGTCCAACTCAGAACGTTACACGTCAGACCCCATCGACCTGAACAAGCCAGAGTGTCAGACTTTCGTTGAAAGTCTTGCGTTCGTGAAGAAACACCGGCCGAAGTTCTACGTCCTGGAGAATGTTTTGGGCGCCTTGCAGCCTCGCATAAAGGGTGGACGTCAGACCCCCTTGATGTGGTACGAAGAAGCTCTCCAGTCAGACTTGCCGGACTACACGCATGCTGCGATGGTTGTCGATGCCTTGCCTCAGTCAGAGAGTCGTGCACGTGTTGTCCTGTTGGGCTCGTCAGACAGCAACTTCGTTGCGTCAGATTGGGTTCGCGAGGTGAGCATTCTCAGCGAGATGTGCAGCCAAATGCCACGCCATTCTGCTGCTGCTTTCTCGTGGTCTGACAAGGGCCCAGTGTCGAAAGCACGGTCAGTCATGGAGGACGACACTGAGTACCATCGTTTTTTCGCTGAGGCATGCAAGAACCTTTGCTGCAGTAGTCATTAGGACTTTTTTTATTATGTGTCTCTTGAGTGTTAATCCATGGGCACCTCTGTTTGCACAGTCACAGCACTTCCATCAAAGAAGCCTCACGAAACACTTTGCGACACACCCTGACCTGTTCGGCAGATGAACACTACAAACCTGTGGCACTCTCATCTTTGAGCACAGTACCTGACTGTGATTTCAATCTGAGACGTTTTTCATTCATGGTCTTGTCGTCGTTCAGTCCGTCTTTGCGTGTCCGTCCTTCCAGTGGCTCATCTAAGGAAGGCCGTGAAAGCCAAACGCATACCGTCAGATGTGAAGCCCCCCCGGTGAAAAGGAGAGCCAGCAGTGGCACAGAAATGGGCGCTTGGCACCGGGCACAGGTCGATGTGTATGAGATGATGCTGCAGTCGGCCGGGCTTGGGACGTCAGACCCTCTGGCAGACTTGAGTCAGACAGTGGACCGGGGCCACTACAGGTCAGACGGAGGACTGGCCACGTTGACAACCGGTTGCCTTTGGTACAACTATCAGAAGAAGGGCTTCATGGACAAGGCAGACATGGTCCGTGGCTTGGGCCTCAACCCGGCTGAGGTGGATTACTCGCGTCACACATTGTCGGAGCTCCGCGAGATGCTGGGCAACGGCATGCGTGCTGCCATGCTTGTGAAGGTCTGCCTCCCGATCTTGACATATCTGAAGTATTTCAATTTTGTCCCAGGACATCCTCGTTAGACTGCATAAGTCAGTCGGACCTTGCAACTTGCTGCAGAATCATGCGAGGAGTTGTTAGACTCAAGATTGTGAAGTTTCTGACTGTGACTTTATGTCGGACAGTCTGGTTTTGAGCTTGGATTCGGATACACCCGTGGACTCCAGTCAGACCGCAGCAGCAACAGCGAGGAAACTTGAAACTACTCTTGCGCGAGCTGGGGGAGATGTTCAGGTTGTTGTCATCCCTGCTCTTTCCTTGCTTGTGTTGCAGTCTTGTCATTGTCGCATTTTTCAATTCTGACAAACCTGCTCGAGGCACTTGAGACCTTGCACAAATGCAGAGCCATGCCCTCGGCACTGTAGCCCACGTTCGCGATCTGCGATTTCAGGGGTCTCGACTTGAAACGTTGAAGTGTGAGACTGCAGTGTGGACACTCGTCAGAGAGTGGCAGCCTCTGGCAGACTTTTGCACCTGCCATGTGTCGTACCATATGTCCTTCATGCCTGGCTGCCCATGTCACATGTCAGACCTTGACTGACCACTGACAAACTCAGAGGGTCCTGCAAATTAAGATGCCTTGGTCTTGAATCAACTTGTTCGAGAGCAATGTCTGAGGCCTTTTGGTGAAAGACAAGGTGCTGCGAGTGTGAATATGGTGCTTCTGTGCAGCTTGCGCAGTGCGCATGTTCATGATGGAATACCTGCCTTGCATGTCTTAGACTTTTGAGCGAGTAGTTTCACGTCAGAAGTGCTTGCTTCAAACTCTTTCCTCACCTGCGTAAGCTGTTGCTTCTCGCAGGCTGCAACCTCCGCCGAGTGGCCACCAGCCCAGGTGGTAGCCTTGACAACAGGGCCTGCGTCCTTCAGTTTTCCCTTCGCCCTCCAGTCAGAAAGTTCAGGGGCGGGGGCAGCGCGGTGTGGGGTGTAGCTTTTTCAGTGAAGTTTGGGCCAAGGCACGAGCTGAATCTGGCCACAGCGGAGATTGCTTCCAGTCAGAGCCTCGGATGCGAATATCTGACTGTCTGAGACTCTCATTGGACACCAACAGCTCCAAGCAGTTCCCTGGATTCTTGTAATGTGTCCTTCTCGAAACCTGCTCGCCCGCCGCCCCCTACCATCTCAAGAAACCCCCAAGTGTGCCTGTCGACTCGGCCTCCTTTCCTGGGCAAGCGTCAGCATGCCGCCTTATCAGGTCTTCTTGTTCAAGTTTTACCACCAGGGTTCTGGAAGGAGGGACGAGTGGTTGTTGCTGGAGTCAGAGCGAAGGCATGCACGATCACCACTCCACGGCCGCATCTTCTTTTTTCGCCGCACCCGTACAAATCGCAGAGCATGGGGATCGCAAGGATTGTGGTCAATGACAACATCAGGCCAGATTCTGCTCACGGACTTCGCCTGTGCGTCAGACGCAGGTATCCGACGATGGGACCTCTGCTTCAGACCAGCGGGCTGCATTCAGCAAGAGCTTCCAGACATGCTCGGGGGGACGCGCACGTACTACTACCCTGTCTACACCGATGTCGGACACATTCGGGTATTGTTCTTCATCGGCACCTACATGATCGTTCTGCCGCCACCTGCGCTCCAGAACCGGTTGGCTGTGGACGAGGAGGAGGAGGACATGGACCCGGAGGAATGGCACTTCCTGTGAGACGACGGATCATGTCATCCTCCCCTGAGACGGGAAGCAGTCAGACTTGGAATAGCACAGGTGCTTGCAGGGCACGTCAGACATGGTTGCCGCGTGTAGTAGCCAGCCAGGGCAGTGTGTGTGCGCAGAATTCTGGCAGCGTTTTAAAAACGCTGCTGGCAAAGGCCCGACTCGGCCGACTGGATGGAGTCGGTGACAGCGAGTGGCAGTGGCTGTGAGTCAGAGAAACTGGAGCATTTAGAGGGACAGTCAGAGGCAATGACACAAATCAAAACACCTTCCCCCCAAAACCCTGAAGGGAGCAGCTTAGGCAAAACCAGCCCTTCAGTGCATGTGCATCTTTCTGACAAGCCGCCTGTCAAACTTGGGAAACGTATCATGGTCATGATATGTGGTATCAATCCAATGTACTGTGTGCAGTTTTGATGAACAAACTCACCAACTGTCGTTACCCTGACGTACACCCTCATTTCCCTGCACGACTCCTCACACTCACCCACCCCATGGCCAGTCTCAGATTTCTCGGGGGAACATGTCGTAGACTGGCGTCTGAAGCACTGCTAAACATTGATGTGTGTGCTGGGTTTCTTCAGGTGGCCTGTCAGACAAGTGAACATGTCGAGTCCTCGGCATCCTCGCAAGGCCAGGGCCATAAGTCTGCTGCTTGACACAGGTTAATGAGTGAGTGCCAAATTAATTTTTGATTTCTGATTTTGTCGTGCTGAGTGACACAGTATGCACACAACTGCTCAGTAAGACTTTTCCCAGATGCCCTACCAACAGACCGAGCACGGACCACCTTTATGAAAACGCCGGTTCCTACATCGTTGGGCAGGAGTGGGGCTGAGGGTGCTGGGAAGGGCCTGGGGAAACTTCGGCCAACACGGCGTCAGACAGCACGGCTAAGCACTGATGCGCGTGCTGGGTTTCCGCAGGTCAGACATGAATGAGTGCAGCGTTCTGCATGTCCAAGTCTTCATTTGGCCCTGGCGGTAGTACCCAGCAGCTCAAGAATGGAAGGCCAGATCCTGTCTAGTGAGTCTAGTACTGTCTGTCAATGCTGTTTGATTGGTTTGCCTGCGTTCTTGAAATAAACCATATGCGTGCTGAAAGTGATAGTTCTGTCAAGCTTCTTGCCCGTATGGCGAGTCCCTGCCAGCATATTATTTCTTAGACATGCTGGCCAGCAATGGCAATGCGTCCGCAGTATATGTAGCCGCCGCTTCTGGTGATTCGGACGCCCTACCAAAGGACCGAGCACGGACCAGGTATAAAGTGCCGGTTCTTACACCGTTGGCCGGGTGTGGGGCTGAGTGTGCTGGGAAGGGCCTGCGAGATTTTGGCCAACACGCCTTGGTCCGGCGTCAGACAGCACGGCTAAGCGCTGATGCGCGTGCTGGGTTTCTGCAGGTGGCCTGTCAGACTTGAACGAGTGAACACTTCTTCAGTCGGTACCCAGCATCCTCTGGCATGGAAGGCTGTCGTAAGTCTTGGACATTGATTTGCTGCTTGACACCTGTTACAGCTTTGTCATTGTGCGTGTGAGACACAATCTCAGGCGTCTCACTGGTGAAAAGTGAACGGACTTGCTTCTTGCTACAGTGTGAGACTCCTCGGGTGCTTGCTTCTGAGTCAGACGCCCTACCAAAGGACCGAGCACGGACCAAGTATAAGTCGCCGGTTCTCACATCGTTGGCCGGGTGTGGGGCTGCGTGTGCTGGGAAAGGTCTGCGGAAATTTTGGCCAACACGCCCTGGTCCGGCGTTTGACAGCATGGCTAAGCGCTGATGCGCATGCTGGGTTTCTGCAGTGGGCTTGTCAGACAGAAATGAGTGCAACATTCTTTGTGTCGATACCCGGCACCGTCTGGCATGGAAGGCCTACAGACTTACTGCTTTTGGGCTGGGGGTTGCTGGCTGTGTGTCTGTTAGCTCTGACAAGTCGTCGTAGCTTTTCCGAGACTGCAAATTCAAGGTTTTGCCTGTTGTGTGCGAATGCTGTCAGATGATTAATAATGACTCAAATTTTAAATCTTTGGACGAGAAGGCTTGCCAGTCGCTTTTGGT